CCCCCCCCCCCCCCCCCCCCCCCCCCCCACCGTCGGCCCTCGGGGCCCCGTGCCTGCCCTCCGGGACGCCTCTCAGCGGGAGCAGCAACAGCAGGCGCAGGATGCTGCTGCCGCCGCCCCTGCCGCCGCCCCTGGACATGATACCCCCGCGGCCCCCGACTTTTGGGAATTGATGCAGTGGCATCAAGGTCTTGTCGCATTAGAGAACAGGCTCATTGAGTTCCAAGATCTGGTTACGGAGATTAAGCAACGGGTAGAGAATATACTCGCTTTCAGGGAGGACAGGAAGATAGGAAGGACAATCATTAAGGAGGAGTAAGATACCCTCTACCTATGAGCCATGACCATAGTACTAACATTACTCGTCTTAGAGAGTCGTAATCGAATGAATTCATCCCCTATGTGTACGCCGAGAAGGCCGAGCAGATCTGTTTCTCACCCGGGGAAGGGGTTTCACCAAGGAGGAGAACAAGAAGGTGGATCTTATCGTGGCGGTCCCATTGACATGCCTGGCGGCAAGTCCTTCAAGTTCGATAACTAGATGATGCTTTTCAGTCGTCAAATACCCCATCCGGTTCACTTTTCGCATTGATTTTGTTGAAGGGTTTGTGATCAACTTGGCCTAGCTTTCCATGTGCACTGACTACATCACGGAAGCTGCTAGACTTAGTCAACCAATCCCAGGGAGAAGAAGCCATTTTCTGTCACATCATTAGATAACCAGATCTAGTTAGGTGTATCCTTTAGCCCATAGGGTTCCTCAAAAATGTTTGCCTCTTGCAGCAAGGCGCTGATAGAGCGTGGTAAAATCGACTTGATCCCAGAGTTATAAGAACCTTTCAAGTAACTAGCATCATTGGTCTAGTGGTAGAATTCATCGTTGCCATCGATGAGGCCCGTGTTCGATTCACGGATGATGCACTTACTTTTTGCTTTTTCTCTACCACCCTGCGCGGCTTCTCCCCAATTATACCTTCCAGATGCTACTGAATTTACTCGCCTACATTGTTTTGAATTTCGGCTCGGCTACATACCGTGACCCTGGCAAACGCCGACTTTTAGTATCTCATCCCAGGCTATATCTCAGCCTAGAGTGACGCCATGACCTGATCAATGCAACCAACAGCCTCACCCCAAACGATTCCTTGAGCACACATGATCTTTGAGATCATATCTCTGCCTTGCAACACACAACACTACTCCGAATCCTCCTCAGCATTGGCCAGGCTGTGCTCGTTGGTGAGCCTCGTGTTCTGGGTGCAGAGAGCGAACGCGATCAGCGGCACGGTGAGACATATGCCGGTGATACACAGCAGCCTCTGCGCATCCCTGTAGGCATCGACGACTGCATCCCGGGCGGGCGTTCCCATGGGGTGCTGCAGGCTGAACGTGAACGGGTCCGCATATACCTCGGCCGCCAGGGTGGCGTTGTTCAACCGGGTTTCCAGCTGCGTGGGAAGAACCTGCGTCCAGATTGCCCCGGAGATGGTGCCACCGAGGGCGCTGCCGATGTTGTAGCAGGTCATGAAGAGTGCGGTCACGACAGCGAGGTCTGATTGTGTTAGAAGCTTTGTTCACGAAAAGGAGGGAAGGGGTGGGCGGAGAGTATTTGCTGACGCTCATGTTTGGTAGCAGCCTGGATGCTGGCTTGGGCGGAATATGGGAAGAGTCCACCAGCTGCATAATATATCAGGTACGGGTGTCTTGGTATGGACAACTGGGTAAGACATACCTATGCCTAGAAGCACTTGTCCCCCTACGATGCCCGAGTGGCTTGATGAATCATGTCCCCCGCGATAGTGGATCAATAGGCCGAACGAAACCATGAACAAGAGGATACCTGCAACGATGAACGGCTTGAGGCGTCTGACTCCGTATATGACGAAGCCAAGTAAGAAGCCAGTGATGACAGAGGCAAAGCTGGTCATGGTCAGCACATGCTATTTTGGAGGCCAGGATATGTACCCGTAAAGCGAGTGTATCCTCGTCGCACTGCTAATGCCCTCACCGAAGCTAACAACGAGCACAGTCTAGAGATAACTTGCCTGCAAAGCCCAGGCTATAATAAACTGTAAGCAGATATCTTGATCAAAGTCAACCGCATCATCATACCTGTATTAAGCATCACCGCAATACCCAATGCTCCCCACACAGCTCGGTCCCTTAGTAATTTGAATGGGACTAATGGATGCGCGCATCTTCGCTCCCAGTAAACGAAGGCCGGTAGACATAGTATCCCGAATACTAGAGGTGTAATCACTTTGGCCTGTTTCCAACGCCCACTGAAGCCCCCCGCAATGGTGAAGGGAACTAATATGAGGGAGAGACTTGCAATCAGCAGGATCATACCAATCACATCCATGTAACAGAATAATCCCTTTGTCGCGCGCCAGGCACCATGGGTTCTCTGAGCCCCGTGGTAGTCTCCATTCCGCTTCATCACGTATTGAGAGATGAATAGCGTAGACAGTAGGGGAACAGTGCAGGCTGATGATGTTTCAGTAACTTTCAAGTATTCCAGTCAAGCTGATCTTTACCTGGGTAGAGGATTCCAAACATGCCCACACCCCACCGCCAACTAGTCGCACGCGTAACAGCTGCAGCAACATCTCCACTGACCCATGTATTGATCTGCGTTATCTGACTTAGGCGACACATCGTATGCAATCCAATGGGCCACGCTTACAATGAAAGGAATCGCAGGTATATAGGAGCACAGCAAACGGCTTCGCAGGGATGAGAGATCCGCCACAAGTATTTCGACAAGCAGTACGATAAGTGTGTAGCCGACCTAATCCAGTCCAATCGTCAGTATCAGCAGACTATGGGAGCAAAAGGCTCATCCTACCTGATACAGCACCGCACCTGCAGCAAACTGTTCTACTGTTTTGGAACAAGCCTCGACCACAGTGCCTGGAACCGCATTAGTGGCTGTGAGCCGACGCTAGAAAGCACCTTCATACCAATGGTGTAGAAGAATATTGACACAACAATCAATTCGGGTCTCCCAATGACGCCTGCGATCTTGGCTGCGGTGGGCTACCACAGGTGGTTTTAGTGAAACGGTATGAGCAAAGAGCGTAGGGTGTACCTAAATTGCTGCTGCAACAACAGCCCGTAGTATATCGACGGTCACAAGGAGGCTGTGGGTCTTGTAGGAAGCGGTAGCATACGGCTATGGAACCATCACTTGAATATTAGCCTGTATCTGGTATGTAGAAGGGGTCAGACAGCGAGAGAACCTGGTATGTGCTCCGTACGAGGCCATCCAGGCCGTAGACGTATGCGACGAGGAAGAGGCCGATGAAGACCGAAGCACGGATACCTCTAGACAGGCCTTCGTGGAGGACCTCCATTTTCTTCACTCCAGCGAAACTGGCCATAGCGGATGACTCGGGCTGGGGGACCTCCTGAGATGCATCACGGTCGGACTTTGGAGTAGAAATTGTCAAAGAAGGTGTGTCGAAGAACTCCCTTCGCCAGTTTCGTTATCTGATCGAGGTTCGGAAAGCAACTTGGCTTTTATCAGATGGTCGTTCGGGGAGGGAGTAACTAAATAACGGGAGCTGTTGGGGGGAACGTCAGCTCGTCATAAATCTGGGAACTGCCTTGCTAGTGTTAGGAAAGGACCAACAAAAAATCATTGCCCGGTCATGATAACAGTATGATTGGGGCCCCAGTGTGACATTCGGAGCAGATCTCCACGGGATATGAGACGGGATGTATGTGCCGCCTATCATTTCCGAGGTGATCTCACACAGCAAATGCTTTGAGACGAAGAGCTAATGGTCCACCGATTATATAGAAGACGGAGTAACAATCCTAATGAAAAGGTAATGTAGTGCACTGGAGAGAGTCAGGAAGAATCCTTTTTTGTCGGAAGGCAGGAGTAGATATCGTGAATGACACGTTCAGTCGGTTCAAAGATGCGAGTAAGGAAATGCATTATGATTCAACAGATATCGCTAATTGGTGAGACGCAAGAAAGAAGTTCTGAAAAGCTGGTGGTCGCAAGGGAAAGTTGGAGGAGGGATGGTCGAGCTACCCGGCAAGAGAACTTCGGGAAGATCCCATCGCGGCAGTACAAGTTCGCCCTTTTTATCTCCTTACTCTACAGGTCACAGCTCGTGATTCTTACAGCATAATTCCAAGCAAATAAAAAATACTTGTTGCTACGAAACTGGAGGCTGAGATTGAATAAAAAATAATTCGAAATCCAATGCTCATCCAAATTCCTATACTACCACCCTGCTCATGTACGAACAAGCCAACTTCCTCATCCACTCATTGCCATCACAGAAACGGTGCCAGAGATACAGCATATATCGCAGCAGGATATCTGCACGCTCTCAGGCAACCGTAATGGACGCAGACCCAGACGAGTAGTAGCCTTCAGTAGCGACGATCTGATAGTTGTGCGTGCCCAGATTCATTCCCAGCTTCGCCCAGGCATTGAAATGGTTGGCAGTCGTCACGGTACCGCCGACGCGCTTTGTCTGGCGAATGGACCAGTACTGCGTGAAAGTGGCCGTGCCCTGGATGGAGGGGGCGTTGGTGCGGGTCGCCGTGTAGATATTGTATGTCGATCCGTCGGAGTAGACCGAGCCTTTGTAAGTGCCAGCTGAGCCGGGGTTGTACTCCCCGTAGTCCTCCAGGATGTAGTACTCGACGAGAGGACCGGTGGTCCAGCCGTAGACGGAGAGGTAGCTGTTGCTATTTCCTGTGCTGGTCCAGGAGCCGGAGTACGTAATGTCACTGTAGGACGGGTCAATTCATGTGTTTCAGAGGAGAAACCCAGAGACGGAGAAATATTTAAGCAATTGCTCAGCGACCGATGACTTACTGAGCACTTCCAGGGTTCCAGCCCTTTCCACCGACGAAGTTCGAGGCCGATGACCAGGTCACGCTGTAGGACCCCCCGGCGCCGTTGCTGTATTCAACATCGCCGCTTGCGCCATCGGTCCAGAAGCTATAGTAATAGCCGTTCGAGTAGCCAGTGGAGCTGCCAGTCGAGCGCCCAGCAAGGGCAGAAAAGAAGTTAGGGCCCCGTTCCTCGACGGGCTCGGCGGCGGGGGCAGCGAAGGCTTTGACTGCAAGAGCGCAGGCCAGAAGGAACTGAGATAGGCGAGCCATGGTAAGTCAGTGAATACTAAGTAGAAGTTCTGAGTCTTGTAGTTCACAGTCTCTCAGAGCACTCGTTCGACGCACCTTTATAGCTGTCTGTAGAAAGTTGATTTAGCCGCGATGGTTGTCAAGACCAGGATGTGAAACGAAGGAGTCGCCTTGGCTTCGGCACTTCAGGATCTTTAGCCGGGTCGGAACATATGCCGAACCTAAAACGGAAGCAGTGTCGATCCCTCAATCTGCCTAAATGAAGATCTACCCCAGATTAGGGTTAATTCTCACTTCTTCGTCGCCTGGGTAATATTCGTGCAGAATGGCGAGGATGGTGTTTCCTGGGAGCTGGAGAGGGGGTTGTAGGGCTGCTCTGGCGCAGCCGGTTAAGTTGGAGTAAACTTACAGAACTTCAGGGTCCTGGCACTCTTTTCATGCTCAGGTATTCTTCAAATGAGGCAGATAATTAGCCGGTTCGAAGGTGCTACGGAATCCCCGTGTCCCCTGTTGTATCTGTTTGCGCAAGGAGGACTCGCCGGGAGTATAAGTGGGCAGTGCAGGTGTGTCCAGGTATGTGAGACCATCGACTAAGTCGCCTTATGAGTAGCGTGTACCCTCACCTAGGCTAACCGGATGTTCGGACTCGTCATCGGTTTGATCACTGGAGCCTAGCTCAATTCGCTGAATTATAGAGCTTATATTCGATACCACGAAGGCATTCGGAGGCTCACGTTTGTCCCTGAGACAAACAACTAATCAAAGTCAATTAAAAAAGCGCAACCTCACAACTGGATTATCTGTACCGTTCTGAAGAATCAGAGATCTGCAAAGTCACTCAAACTCTATACTAAAACGCACGTCCATTATGCTTCGATACGGACCGGTCAGACCCCACGGGGGTGGAACTGATTGATAAGATTGATAAGGGCTCAAGCGTGCCGTAGTGCTTACTATTGGCTGCGTCAAATAATGTCATAAAGGCACAAGATCAATTAATTTTTCTGGAGTCCATGGCGGCCGTTTGCATCATCACGATACCCGTGATACTGGAATACTCAAAGACCCATTCCTAACTGCCTCTTTAGCCCCCTGAGCGTTGATCGTTGGAATGGCACCCTGTCACTGATGGCCAAAGCGGGAATCTTAGTCGACTGCCTTGGCAACTGAAGTGAACTCTAGGTTATGTCCTGTACAGTATAATAAAACGGCAAGACTTGTCTACTGCAGTAGTACAGAAGTATGAAATGCCTATTAGGGAATAATGGACAGCTACAGGTAGCGCTAACCTGACGTATGTATGAGCGAAGTGGAGGATGGAAACGTTGACTGCCAATCCGAGCCGCCAACCCCTCAAGAAAACATCATGCCATGCGAAAGAAGCCTAAAATAAGGCCTGACAGTCCATAGAGTCAATCCGCGGGGGAGAAGATGCCATCACGTGTACACTTTTGAGAAAACTGAATTCATCAATCCGTCAAGTCATCGGCAATTAGGTAATCGGCAACAACCGTCGTCTTTGAGAGGACGGGTCCGAAAGAGCTAAGTCTCACCTGCCGGGTGCCTCCAAATTACAGGATAGGTCAGGAACATGGTGAGCTATGTGAACTACAGTCTATGGCCGAGCACCACGTCGGAAATCGCGCGCAGAGCACAAGAGGAGACCGACCTGGAATTCTCTGCTCCGGGATAAATAATGAAAAAGATTTCTAGAAACATGATCGAAGAAGTCTAGACTCCACCCACACGGGTAGCATCAACCCACATTCCACACTCCCACGTTCCCACGTCGGAACTCGACGAAAACTCTCCGGGGAATACTCCGTACTTTAATCGAGTTGGCAGAGCACATCGGAACTATTACCCAACAGAATAGGGAACGCAAACTCTTCAACTGAGTTCACCATGAAAAATTCAACTAGACCATTATAGTCCACTAGCGTCGCTACCTATCGGGAACCTGCTACTGGCGCTAGGAGCCGAGAAGGCAGCAGAGCTGAGGCCCTAAAGAGGAAGTCTTCACGCTGAAGAAAGTAGACGGGTCCTGTAGGGGAACAAAGAAAAGGGGTCTTGGGAGTTGGGAGGGCCCTGTTGAGCAAAATTCTGCTAACGCGGGGTATATGACGGAGGAAAGTACAGTACATAAGACGAAGGATTCGACCAGGATTACTCGTCACTCTGTGTAGCAAGGCAGAGAGGGAGGGAAAATCAAGGTTGATTCGGATGACCGAGACGAGGGTCGTCGTATATCGGCTCCACATGCCATCTACAGTCGGGATTGGTTTTTTATCGGCGATTATTGGCGATTATCGGCGTATTCAAAAAGGAGTAACCACCCAGAAACGACAAGATTAGGTCGAGACTTTCAGGAAATTATCCGGGGAAAACGCGGGATCGCGAGGCTGGGGGGCTTCGGCACCGGCCAACGGGGATGGGCGGGGTAATGCATTAGCCGGCTTCGGAGCCCAACAATCAAAATCAATCCGGCTGCCCGTCTGACAGTTGAGACTCAGATGCATAAGATTCTTCGGCTTACTGATAGTCAGGTGGCCTTGTCTCCAGGCCGAATGATGACTCTCACTCCTCAGCGGCTAAACATCGGGTGAAAAAATGAAGTTCGTGAGTCCGCGGATTAGGGCTAGCTCGTCGCCAGACCTACACCACATGAGCTGATATGACAGACCCTATCACCACGATCGATGAATACGAAGCGCTAAGTTACCAGAAGTTCGAGGGTATCGAGGGTATTATATTCGTAAATCAGCGTACTGTACGCATGCGTAAGGCGAGTCAATTGATGCGTAAGAAAATTAAAAAAAGCATTATCCCCATCCCTCCCCCTTTCCGCGCCCCATGCACGCTCCCCCCCCCTCGGTGAGGTCTGCCAACCATCCTCTCTAACAGCAACCAAGAATCACATCTCCACAATCTCACCCTGGATCTTAGTCTTCTCGTTATCCAGGTCCTCCACCTTCTCAACCCCCGTGAGTCCCAGGCGGTCGTAGATAGTCTGCATCCTGAGTCTATCCGCCTCGGCGATGCTGTCCATGCTGCCCCCAAAGAAGACATCAAGCTCCTCCAGGGTCTTGTCTTTGGTTTCAGGTGCAAAGTACCAGATAAACAAACCTCCCAGTCCACTGAAAATGGCGAAGAAGATGTAGGTTCCGTACTTCATTGAAGCCAGCATATCCTTGGTGGTTAGGCCAATGACGAAGTTGAACATCCAGTTCGTGGATGCGACAAGAGACACACCACGAGAGCGAGCACTCGAGGGGAAGATTTCCTGTGCAAGGACCCATGATACTGGGCCCCAGGAGTAGGCGAACTGTGAGGCGAAGATCCAGATGAAGACGATGGCGACCCATCCTTGGGCCTTGTACAGCCCTTCGTTCAAATTCCAGTAATCCTCATAGATACCCTCGACGATAGCAACGACAATATGACAGCAGAACATGCCAATTGCACCGACAATGAGGAAGGTCTTTCTGCCGAACTTGTCCAGGAAAAGTACAGCAGGGAGCGTGAAAAGGATCTGGATGATACCAGTGACACCCGTAGCAAGTAATGTCTGGGTAGTCGACGAAAATCCGAAGCTGGCGAAGATTTGCGGAGCTTTTTTGGAGGGTTAGTTCAGTCTATTCGGTGTGGGATCAGGGTGGTACTGTACCATAATACAAAATTGCGTTGATACCTTGAAGATGTTATTAGTCGGGCTGGGCTAAACATTGAGCACAAGAGGACGGGACCCTACCGGTAAACTGCTGGAAAACCATCATTCCACAGCCGAGCCAGAGTCGCTTTCGCATATTTGGGGAAAAGAGAGCCTTCCAGGGGGCCCATTTACCGCCGACTCGAACAGCTTCGGCATTGGTCTCTTCGTCAAAAAGAACGGCCGCCTTGATTTCAAGGATCTCTGCCTTGAGCAAGGGATCGTTGGGTGAAAGACGCCGGATCTTAGAGAGTGCAGCAACTGCTTCTTCCTCGCGGTGCTTGGACATCAGCCAGCGAGGGGAGAAGGGGAAGAAGAACATTCCGAAGAAGAGAATCCAGGCGAACAGGATCTGCAAGGCCAAGGGGAATCGCCAGGCAAGAGGCTTCTGGCCCATACATGTGTGGCCGTGGGCCGCGTTGTAGTCGAAGGTTCCGTCGGCCAGGTAGGGGTTTTCCACACCTTCGGGGTTGCACTTGACACCACCAACGTATTGCATACCTATCACAATCGATTAGGCAATGACTGAGTAGTGTGTTGGAGAAGATCCTACCATAGTCCAGCCAGAAAGAGATGGCAGTTCCGATGGTGATCGAGAGCTGCTGCAAGGAAACCAGAGAGCCACGGAGCTCCGGTGGTGCGATTTCGGCTTGGTACAGCGGGATGACCTAAAGGAACATGCTTGTTAGACCACTACCCTTTTTCGCAAGGCATCTTTGGCGACGAGAACGTACCTGACTGAGCATACCAATACCAACACCACCGATGATGCGACCAGCGAAAAAGTAGGCGGGGTTCTGTGCTGCGGACTGAAGAGATGAACCCAGAGTGAAGACAACAACAGCCACCATCATACTATATTTCCGCGAAATAGCGTCCGCGAGATATCCGTTGAAGAGCGCACCAGCCCAAGCACCCAGCTCCAAGGCAGACACCAGCCAACCTTGGATAGTAGAACCCATCAACGAAGGAAAGTGCGCTTTGAAGTTCTCCATGACAAGAACAGGTGCCATGACACCTTGATCGTAGCCATACTATCGAGAATCAGTTGAAGCCACTCGGTATAAGATGAGGGTAGTACTATACCATAATACAGCCAAGCGAAGCAAAGGCACAGGTCATGAAGACATAAGGATTCTTGAGCATACCAACCAAGCCATGAGGCTTCTCGGCATTGGCTCGCCCGACCACTGACTGACTGACAACCATTTTGCTGGTAACAAACAGGACACTGCTGGGAAGTGAGAGAGGAAAGACGGGGCGAAGCGCGACATTATATGTGACTCCCCCGCTCTAAAAGTTTCCCCTGCTTTTCTCTTCAAGATCCCTTTAGTCCAGATTCGGTTGGCTCGAGTCTCCATCCATCAGTGACTAATGACATGCGCAACGCCGCAAAGGCCCATGGACAATGGCCGGGCAATTGTCGGATCAGGCACTGTACCGAGTGCTCCCATCTCATTTGAAAGGAGCGGGTTAGTGAGCTAGCGCACCAGTCGCTGGCGTAGAAATCAGCCACAAAAAACTGAATTCGGGTTAGGTCTGACACATGGAAAGTTCGGCTTGTCCCCGTGGGTTGAAATGAATCCCGGGGAGGGGGGTTCTACGCTACCCCGGGAATGGCTACAAATTGGTTTAGGCTGCCTGATGGTGGCGCTGAGGTGGTCAGGTTCAGCGGGGCGGCGAAAACAGAAGAAACTAGCGATGTGAGAATGAAAAGTAGAGATTTCTCGAGTGAATGGTAAGATAGGCTAGTCTAAATACTGGAGGTCCGAGAACTCTGCACAAAGGATCAATACTAAACCCCATGGGGAGTTTAGCGACGAACGAAAAGTGCAGATGACCAATGTGACTGATATGACCGAGATGACCGACTCGACTCAGGGCGCAGCCAAGGTCAGGGGGTGTGAGACAAGAAGCCATGGCAGGTAGTGCCAATGGATGCCAATGGCGCCAGTGATGGCAGTGGTGCCAGTAGTGCCAGTAGTGCCAGTAGTGCCAGTAGTGCCAGTAGTGCCAGTAGTGCCAGTAGTGCCAGTAGTGCCAGTAGTGCCAGTAGTGCCAGTGGTGCCAGTGGGAAGAAAAATGTAAGCTCCGATGTGCGCGAGCCAAGTTGACGCCCAATGCTTGGATGGGGGGGGTGGCCGCCAAGAAGTTAAACCTAAGTCTGGGCTCTCGTTCGGCAGTCGGCAGTCGGCACCACGAGTAGTATTAGTTGACTATTGCGCTGACAACAAATTCTGTCAGCGACTTTGACTCTTCTTCTAGGCTAGTTTAGACCTAGCTTCTAGAACTAAACGAGATCATTCAGGTTTGCACATTTTTCACTAGTTTACTCCGTAGTCCGTAGTCCGTATTCCTTTCTCCTTGTTGTTGGTGTTGTCTGGGGAGTTTGAGTGGGGAGTTCCCAGTCTCTCCAGATTCCACGCGGCTTGCGTGGCCATCCGTTAACCAAACCCTCCCTTCCCCTCACGTGGCACTACCGGTTTTACGTATTTACCCCGGGCCCTGGCCATTTCCCCAACCTTTTCCCTGCTTGCTTACTTGCTGGCATCCTGCCAGCTGGACTCGGACCGCACCCCAAACCCTCCCTGCGCTAACTGTGTAAATGAGGGGAGTGTAACTGTAACCTGACCATCGTCCCTATAATTGGCACATTATAGCATTGATACTGCGGGGCGCATTTGTCACCATCCGTTTTATTGACTTCCCGGTTCCATCGTCCAAGAAGAACCCTCCAAGACCGGCGCTTAAATTTTAATGCGGCATGCCTCGTGAGGTTCTCCGCTTCATCGGCATCGGTAGCGAAAATCAGATGATTACGTTTCGTGGACCGCGTCGCACTTTGAAAGCCGGGGGCGAGCTCACACGAAATCTCGATTTTACCGTGCGTTGCTTGCCAGGGAATCTTTGAGAGTGGTCCCCGGTGGCAACAATCTTGCATCAAAGCAGGGACAGTCAGTGGAAGAGGGGCTGAGAAATGCACCTGATCTTTCTAAGTCGTCAGCACAACAATCATAAATTACGTCTAGTGTGTAATATGTATACCGGTATAGAATATCTTGGGTCAGTGCACCCTTCTGGTCAGTTGTCGAACATGTCGGATTTGAGTAAGTTATTTACTATCAGAGATAATTATCCATACTGACATTATTCAAGAGATTGGCAGTGTAACCCAAACACGTGATACAATCTCAGTACCAATCCACACATCAGTGCTCATCCAAAGCAGCTGTTTTTATCCTCCCGCATTGAGCAGCCTAGAAAACCGAACCGAAATCGGCTGGTGCTGCTCACTCCTTTTCTCGGAAATAACCTACACAACAGAGCTTGGCTGATGCCGCGATCGCAGGTGGCTCCCGAGTCCACTGGTCCTTGCACTCCTCGGATGGGTAAGTTCTCCTTGGCATCAACTTCGGCCTTGGATGAGATCATTTATTTGCCTGGGTCGCACTGCAGCGATAAGCTTTCCATCTGAAGAAATTGAGCGTGTGAGATATCTGCGTTTGTTTTATACCTTCTCGTGAATTTGACCATACGGACCTGACAATCGAGCCTCGGTACAAGGGCCTGTTGAAACCATCCAAATAGGCCGACTGATCAGACCCCTCACTCAAGCTCATAGACTTATTTCGTGTTCTCCTCGGTCATCTCGCCATTTGAACATCGTATGCGGCACCTCGAATTGAGCCGGGTCAATTTCTTTGATCACTGCATCTTGATAAGCAGACTTCACTTTTGATGTGCTGTTTGATAAGCTGTCCAAGTTATCGAGAGTACTGAACATAACTCCAGATGGACAGTCTTCATTCAAATCAACAGCGTTCGAGTCCTTCTGTCCTTTTTCACAGTCGACGCTTCTTCTACCCATGATAGCAGGGTAAGTAGAGAAGCAGCTCAAGACTTCGGTCTGACACAGTCGACTGGCCACCACATCGAACCGTTTCTCTTGCTTGGGGGCGACCTCTAGGAGAGCGGTGAGAAGCTTTTGTGCCCCTTCGTTTGTGACAGCGTACGCTACACTACCCACGGCCTCTTCGATTTGACAAGCCAGGCGCATATGATTCTTGACGCCTGCAGGGGGCTCCCTGCGGTATGACATCAGATGTCGACTTGGAACTGCTGTTATATCATGCGGTGCCAAAAGGAAACTGGAAGCGGCCGCACATCTCATTCCACAATGTCCCAGCCAGAGGAGGTCCCAGCGATCCCCATACGGCAGTGCCGCGGATGCGTTGCTTTCCTGCATCAATCTCATGCCCGATGCGAGCCCTTTTAATTGCATTTTGAGGTTGACATCCCAGTCGACGGTTTTCTCCATAATCAGTGCACTTGCAAAGCTTTCTGCCACCACTCTAAGACCAATGAGATATATGCTATATTTGTCATGACTGCGTGCGAGGTCATACCCTTTAATAGCGTTGAGGTGCATGTGGAAAGCCCCGGTGTCTGCTTCGCTTCCCTGGCACCGTCAGTAAGATACCCCGATAGAAGTGAAGTATCCTCACTTTCGAGAATTTTCCGGCATTGTCACGTTCTTCCGCCGGCGTCTTCGTGGATTCAAAATGAAGATGAAACCCCGTCATCAACGAACCCCGGGAGATTGCTTCCTGCTCGTCAGGATTGCGAAGTGTACCGATTACGATGACACGCTCGAACTGCCTTCTGTTAGCCTTGGGGAAATATTGGGGGATTGCGATACGAAAAACCCCTAAGCTTCCATTCCTGGCCACCTCAGACGTATTCGGATCAAAACGAACTAGAGCAGGCCCATCGATCTCGGTATCACCATTGAAGCAGTAGAAGAGATTATATAAACAAACGACGGCCAATGAAGAGGCGAAGAGAGTTATCAAATATCGATATCTGCATGGGAAGTAACGACGTGGGACTTTTGTGAGAGCCATGCTTTCACAACAAAAGCTGTCTCGACAGGCTCTGTGTGTACATCGAAAACATACATTCCTCCCTTTAAATATCGAAAGCAAGGATCTCTCCAGATCCTCTCCGCTTCGAACCTCTCTACGAATGTGACAGTTGTGTGATTCGGACACTTCTTCCAGTTAAATCATGCGAAATAACGCCACCCTGCCGGCCTTTCCCGATTCGACAAATACTCAGGGTTCAACCCATGTCTAGCTCGGGAACCGGTCGGTCTACTATAGTAGCGTTACCAGGGCTACTTGTCGACCATCAATCTCACCCTCGTGCGATCCATACGTCTGGGAGTTTTCCAATCCCACCGCACTGTTAAGGCCCGGCCTGATACAACCATGCTACGTAACTTCGGTAAACCTCTAGAAATCAGCTATTCTGCTAGCATCATTGCGGCGAAATCCGTCTGACTATCAAGCTAATCCTGCGTAAACATAAGTATTTGGGGTAAAAAAAGAGGAGAACCGAAGAATAAGTGATCTTTTTGCTATGCGCAGAAAACCCTTATCTCTACCCTCTATGTTAAGCATATACTAAACTGGTCCTGTGAGACAAGAAATACCACGCATGGCGAGATGAAACCCGAGTTGCATCGCCAGCTGTCGCCGTCAGCAGCTACCGATTGAGTCCGAGATGGCAATAGGCAGCAAGGTGCATTAGGGCAGCAGACAGCCAAGCAAAGACTCCTCCGATCTACCGATCTGACTTCCGGAATCCCCAACCCCACTGGGTAGATAGGTCCTCATCAACACCCACACATTGCAGGCACCTGCATTGGTAATACACAAGGCTCCTTATACTACCACGTGGTGGATCCCGAGTGCATGCTAAACTATGAATTGGAGGACAGCCAGCGTACTCGCGATGCTCAAATCATGCACGATCACAATCCATTGAGTCTCCGATTTGTGTTCAGCGTGGCTGTCATTCCGAGCCGAGATTACCTCTCAATGCTGTATTGCAGAAGTCCTATTCTTGCTTCTGGACAGATTAACTACGAGCTGTTTAAGATAATCTGGACGATGGTAATTAAGGATATTTGCGATTTGAATAACGCATAAAATGTCTTTGATCCAAGTAGATCGTTTCCTCCATCCATGATCCGCATCCAGGGCGATAGTATCATTTCCAGAAAGCCTGGCTAGTGCGCTAGTAATTCCAAGTCCCAACATACTTGGACTCGCGTGATGATGATGATTCGATCTCTCGAATGCCACATTGTGCCGTTACTGCTCCCCAAGCCCAGCTCTAGATTTTCATCAATGCACAGGGATACAGAACGCCATGCTCATGTCATCGTTATCTTTTAAAGTGTAGAACCCGGAAACCCGTTTTCTTGAAGGCAAAAACAAACAAAGTTCACCTCCGAAGGGGAACATTATCGAAACCCAGAGAATGGAAAGGATTCATTCATCTTGCTCGCTATCATAACTTATGTTAGTACTATGTAGATAGCTTATAGTTAGAAGATAACTTACGATTTGATGTATTTAGCACTGTGGTGGCGATGGACGATTTCATTGAGTTCAGTTCGAAACTTTGAAATCATATCTTTTCAACCGGTTCGGCCGGATTCACTCGCTCTTGCACAACCGCACCAAGGTCTGTCAGCCTGTCGCCAAACTCAATAATTTGAGTCTCGAAAGCCATTTGTTCCTAACGTATGTGAATCAAAATCCTCAGGATGTCCTGGTTCAGGGTGGCGCAAAGTTCTCTCTCGACCTATTTTATTTGTTAAAACTGGTTGAAACTCAGGGCCAACCACACTCACAGCGACGAACTAAAGAGCAGATTAATACTTTCTATTAAGAATATGGGAATATACTTACAAATCTGGCTTGCTTGTCCATGTCTCTATTCTTGATCCTTGGACAAGCTGCCTTCAAATGGCCCTGCTCGCCGCATTCAAAGCATGCGCGATCCTAGTTTATTTAGTACCAATACTAAGACCTATCGGACGACTTACTTCGATAGGCGACATGATGACGTATCTAAATTGCATGTTAGTCATTTTGATAAGCGTACAATTGGGATGAAGGGGCATGAGCTCAATGTGATGAGATGAGAAGAATGAGCTGATGCAGGATCGCTGGTGTGCAAACAGGCCCGTTCTACATGCAGAGATGAAATATAAGACAGCAGAGAGTTGAAGCTGGGTCTGAGGATGATAGGCAATGGTAGCGGATGGAGTACTTACTGCAACAATCTAAATAGCAAGTCAGTATATAATACAGACCGGGTAAGGATTAGAGGATCTACTCACCAAATGTGCTCGTGCTCTCACTTCCTAACCCTCAACAGTCTGGGGACGCACGGCCTTTAAAATGCCCTATCCCATCATACTGGTGAAATACTTGAACAACTTACCTCGACGAACAGAGGCATTTTGATACGTCTGGATTGCCTGTTAGCCATTGTAATGACTACACAACTAGGATCAAACGGCATGAAATGAGATAGGCAGCTAATCGTTTCGTCATTTGTGGTCTCTTGCCAGTAGAGAGGTCACCACGTCTCATCTCTACAGCCTATACCGGACAAAGAAGGCGTATAAGACTTTACATAAAAAGACCTGTGCTTATCACATAGACTATATGCACCCTAATAACCCTAATAGGAAGATCTAAAAAAAACCCATAAGAAAGAACCCCGTTAGCAATACCTTCGGCCACAAAACATCACTAATAGTCCCTAATGTAGGGATATTGCTTCTAATTTTATTTAAGATGCACTGGATCTTATATACACCTTCAAATACATAAGTACTTGCACTAGAAAAGTGATGTGTCTACACTATTTACTCCAAAGAGCTAGAGGCGTACGGCTATCCAGAAAGGGAGCACGGACATCAAATCTCTGTACATCTATATATGTGCTTGGATCCATACGGCCCGGCCGGGGGCTCATCTTTTGCTGACTGTGGTAGTTAGCAATCCTTTCTGCCGGTCAAATTATTGATTTATACTGTGTACTTGATAACTTCAATTATACCAGCCAACATGTTTAAAAAGCTGATGCGGTCGGGGCATTCAGAAAGGCGGTGCTGCGGAAAATGTGTCCAAATCCTGTATGCAGCCGAGCCGGTTCAACAGGCGGCGAGTGGTGGTGTGAAAAATGCTATGCGCGTGTGAGGCGTGCTGCAAGACGGCCAGATAGAGTCCTCGATGCAGATAAGGAATGCCTGTCTTGTGGGGGCAAGACGCGTGATTGGCATAAGCGTGAAGATGGTTGGCTATGTCATAATTGCTGGAAAAAAGAAGGCCCCAATGATGAAGAGATTAGAAAGAGTAGAAGAGGAGCAACTCCACGGGCTGATTGTTGGCATTGCGGGAACGACAAGAGCGTGGCATGGAGCTTCAAATTCTGGCAATGGCTCTGCCAGAAGTGCAAAAATAGGGGCAAAGATGGACCTGAATGGCTACCTTTGCTTCAAAGACAGGTTGCCGGACTGGAATTCCCCTGTGACAACTGTCAAAGGATCAAGTCGAGAGGTTGGACCATTCCTGAAGTGAAAACTGGTCTTTATCGGCTTTTGTGCCATAAGTGCAAATGGCAGAAAATTTGTGTCGAGGACGAAGTGACATATCAAGCGCATGCTTGGCGAAGTGGTTATCCCCCAACCGGCAGGGGACCACCCATGACGGAACAGTTAGTTGCCTATATGAGGCAAAAAGGGATCGACAACAGTGCTGAGGCCATAAAAAAGCTGGAAGAGCCTGCGTAAGGCCAATTGAGATACGAGTCCCACAGTGAGAATGTGCCCTGTGGGCTGACATGAGCTGGAGTCTCTTCGTGGCCGACAGAATGACCGTAAGAGCCCGGGGTGAAGAATTAATTTGCGGTTTGTACTGATACCGCGGTACAGATGAAGTGGCAGTTGGCTCCTTGTGCAGTGCACCCAGAGGTTTCTGGGGAAACACGGCTTCATTTTGTGTTTGAATGTCAGATTTTGTGGAGCTGGCTGTTTGAAATTCATGACTCGACGGGCTCATGGTTGGATGGTGAGTCAGATACTGGACGTTCAACGGTCAGGCGAGAAAAAAAAATCAAAGTAAGTGGGAGCTTGATCGATTTGAGAGGCACTCTGAGTGATGCTAATATACACTTTAGTCCACACTGAACCGAACTTGATCGCAAGTCTTGTTGTGGGGGTTTGATGCGGGAGAAGAGTCCATTATCCCGTGATCCACGATCATTGAGCTAATAATATCATCGTGAATTAGAGTTTACGAAGACCTACAGCAATCGGGATTGTCAACACTGCGCTCAACGGAAAATGAAGCTTCGTCCAGGTCATCTTTGGCACTTACCGCCATAGCCGCAACAAAGTTGGACGTTCGTTTCTTGAGCCGCAAGCATTGTGAGACAACGAAGACACACGAGTACGACACGATTGTTTGAACAACGAAGATGGCCGGGATGACGGCGAGGTCGGCCAGCTTTTCTGCTGTGAGCTGAGATCCGAGCTGTGTGAAAACTACAGACAAGCACAGTCAGTAGCAACCCAAGGTGCTTGGACAGTGTGTTATGGACTCTATGGCCCGCCGAAGAATACGCAGCTCATATCGTCTCGTTGAGGACAAGCCTCACAATTTCCAAGTCCGTGTCTGCCGAGCGACGAGAATCAGCGACGAGAATCCGTGACTCGATATCTGCGTGTGGCTCAGTGCTTGTACAATCGAGGTAGTTCATGTTGAGAACGACGTAACTATGAATGACCTCCGGCTCCGACTCTCGCTTCGAGAAATAGCCGCCTGTCGGGAATATGATGCCTTGGCTTTGTCCGGCTGATGCCCAAGATATAACCGACAGCTCGTTTCACCACTCAAAGAAAATAACATCTGACATCGACGGAGGATTCCGGATCTCGTCAGCAGTAATGCGTTCACGAGTTTTAATGGCAATTGGTGCGTATGAGAGAATCTGGCATTCGATCCAGTCAGTATTCAGCTAACATTCTTAATGAAAACTAGGCTACAATAGCTGCAATGACACTATTGTGGAGAATATGGTGTCGGTGGAGCAGCCACACAACATGATTGGAGCCCTTCACAAGTGTCGCACTGATGAGATCAAGCTGTAGGTCATATTGGTTGATTAAGGCCTCATCCCCGAATGCAGACCTCTCTGATAGGCTCCTCTTCGGCGGTTCTCCCTCCTATGGCGACGGCGGCGGCTACGGAAACCCCTCGGGCCCTACTGGACCTTCGTCCTGGCGGTAAATTCAAGATTGTGATTCTGACGAGGCCGCTGGATCAAATTTGGCTCTTTTCATCTCCTCTTTATCTGTTTGCATAACAGATACAATCAGGACAAGTCCTGAGTCTAATTTCTACTATTTTCTTCTCTCTCTCTTTCTTCCTCTCAGACCGGCCTTGTCATGACTGTCAGAACTTCAATATGGGAATACCACACCTTCTTTCCCACAAGATCCATATGCTCCCTCGCGTTGGCCGATTGACCTGCGTCTTCTGGTGTTCGCAAGGACCCGTGGATCGCTGCCCAACTGCTTTGGCACTGTCGGCCGTGAAAAATCGCCGTTGCTCAGTTATCCGCTATGACAAGCTTCCAGTGTCGGACGGTACTGATATTCAGCTAACATCTCTCTTTGCTATTGGGGTTTCTCAGTCTCTACATTATAGCCTCAGCCAGGGGTCAAACTTTCCGCACTCGTTCTAAAGCTCAGAGCTAGAGGCAATACATCCTCGTCAGAAGACCCTCACAGTCATATTGAATGATAGAAAACCACGATGAGAATCTAACAGTGGGATACTCAATAATCGTGAGAAGATACCGGCGTCCGTGACGATCTTTAAATATCTAATCACTTCTCCATACAGAATTAGGGTGCTCTTTCGTCGTTTCCTCCTGTCTAAGCATTCATCCAGCCCGAATATTCCTTCGAAACCCCAAAGTCACCACTTTGCCATCAAGAATATGAGCATCCCACACAATAATGCGCTTTGTTTCTCGAGGCACCATAACTCCCTGAATCCCAATACATCCACCCGCGCCAGCTGCGGCCACTATTCAAGCCTCACTACTACTTCCTCCCCACCCCGGCACAGAATGGGCTCCGTAATAATGGACAGGAACTGTGCACTGGGATGATATCCGTTAGACCACAAGGACTGGGATTTCCTTCAGTCAGCCCATCCTGGATTCTTTTCCCTCAAACAATGAGTTTTCTCCTGCAGTCATTGATACTTTGAAGAGTTTCTTGTTGTGATTCTTAAGAAGAGGTGCTATGCAGGGACCGATGGGACCGATGGAGGCATTCTGGAGCGGTCTGCAGGTGCTTGCCATGTACTGCGTCATTCGGATATGGCTGCTACCCTGAACAAGCACCGCGTGCTATCGAATCCAACCGGCGGATAGGTTACCAGAACCTTGGAACTATCTATACCTTGCGAGCAATCGCCAGTGCTCGTTTGAAGCTTGATCATCATTGTTTTTGATTCGAACAACCCGGTGCTTCGATTCGAACCCGGTGCTTTGATTCGGTAAGTAGAAGGCAGAATCCCTTACCTTTTCATGGCTAACACCAGAACAGCACAGGGTGATTCCACTCGAAGAAGAGAATAGAGGCGAAAGAATACAACCGAACGAAAGACAGAGATTGTTTTTGCATCCGCGCGTGTGGACGAGTATAAAGACAAAATTGAAGACAAAAATGGGGATGAAGAAAAGAGAAGGAAAGAACTGAACCAGAAAAAAAAAAAAAAGAAGAAGAAGAAGAGATGCAGAGCAATCGCTCGCTACTCGCTAGTTGCAAGCAATTCACCGCAACACATCCTAGGTTGCCTCCCCACAAACTTATGCGCTCTGATCGCCCGGTTGAACTCCCATCTTTTCTCCATGCCTCTTGTGCACTCCACAGACAAAGTCATCCTTCGCTATTTGATGCATGAGAGAAACTACAGGATAAACATATCGATATCCGTTATTTGCTTCTGTACCCCTCCTCCCTCTCACACTCTGAACTCCTTGATATATTCTCTCCTCCCAACTTGTCACCAACCACCGCAATTTCTTCATCTAACCCTATCATGCACCGAGGCTTATCACGTCCTATTGCCCTTTATCCCCAACATACCTTTTCATGTTCCCGACGCCCTCTCCTCCATATTTTCCGCTTCTCGTGTTGTGTGTTGAAGTACCATTTACCCAAAGGTTTCTGATCTCTATTTGGTGAGCAGACTTTGGTCGACATTTCCTATAACTGCTCTCTACGCCCCTAAGCTCTCTATGCCATCATCCTTCTATCATATCGTCCTCTTTTCCCATTATCCCCAATATCCCCAATCTCTTCTCCGCCTCCGATTCTCGTGTCAGGTGCATCAAAGTACCGTTGAACCCACGCTCTTATCCTTTACCCAGTGATTGAGTATAAGATTTACAGTTCCAGGAGTTGCCCAATAGGCCTCCAGGTACTATTTCTTATACTCGTGAAACTTGTCTTGGACGAAAGTCCATAAACTTGCCCCTGGTCTGTACTCTGAGGTCAGACATCATTGCCACAATCTGCACTAGAAGCACAAAGCTCAAGCAAAACTGCTTCACAATACAGCTTCCAACCTCTACCGCTCTCAGATGGCATTGGCAGGTGTCTGCATGCCCCGGTTCATAATGAAACAAAAGTGCAAAGGTTCGTGGTCTTCGAGCACGAATTTTAGTACCATACCTAGTCCTTTACGTGTTCTAATCGGGGTCTCTCCTTAGTATACTCTACCCTCCTACTTTGCACGATCATCCTCTACAACTAGCAATGTTATATTCCTCGATATACATTCGCAAAAAGACTACAATAAAGCTTGCAGCCAAGGGCGCAGCAACCATAAAAGCGATTCAATGAGCATGCAGAACAATGCCCACCATATACCAGGCCATTACGAATCCAAGAAATTACTATGTCTATAGAGTGTAGCTCCCGCAAAGTCGATAATACTACATTCAAACTATCTATTCTGTCGCTTGAAATCTTGTACTAACAGTTCGCCAATTGTATGTCTCTAGACCCTGCGATTTAAGCATTGCTAATTAGCTTAGTTAACATTCGATTTGATCTGTTGTCTAGGTCGAGCTTGAGTGGTTCGCCGCTTCTCGATAGAGACATTGTGTCCCTGTTGTTGAAGTCTCTGTGTGTGCTTATACCTGTGTTCTTATTCCTTTACTTGATTTCGTTCACTTTGTCGGTGCCCCATCAGTCCCGTATACATTCAACCCTGCCAGTCCCGTTCCAACTCTCTCCTTGTGTTCTCCTTATCTTGCCCCGGTCTCGCCCTGTCAGCTTTGTCGTCATCATTCGTTATATCCGATCCATCTGATGTTCTCGCGCACTTCCAATGCCAATTGTCAATCTTCGCTTAACGGTAAGCTCTAGTCGGATAAATTCCGCTTGATCTAGCAGATATACTGATGTTTATTTAGATTCCAAGTGACTCCGTCCAGCTCTGTGTCCTGGTTTCTCCATGCTCGCCTGATACTCTTTCGCTCTGCTGCTCTGTCAACCTCGTCGTTATAAAGCCTGCCACCGCATCTACCTGTGATCGTTACATGCTGTCTCTGTTACCGGGTGTTCCTCAATGGTGGGTGTGGGTCGATTGCGATCTTCCTCCATGACAACGAATCTGACATCACTTCAGGTACAAACGTAGTTCTTCATATGTTTCATAACCTCTGAAACGACCACCTGTGACAACAACATATATCGCTCGTCTATCCATTCATTCCTCCTTTCACTCCATTTCTCTTCTCTTCGCGGTCAAACATTCGATCAAGGCGAGGAAAAGCTTCGCAAGAAGAACCATCAGCGCAAGATATTGGACAATAAGATGAAGATGTACCGCGTGCCCCTTCAACAGGTCAAGATCAACTACACAACATTGACTACCAATAAGAAAGTCTATGCACAAGAGGATCGATTCTTGTTGCTCATACTGGACAAGTATAGAATCGATAGCGAACATCGTTATAAAAAAACCTGCAATAAGATTCGCGAGTCTTTTCTCTTCTACTTCAACTGGTTCTTTTTCAGCCGGACACCGCTTAACATTTGTTGAAATCGGGCGTCGGTGCACCATACTATTAGATAATATCGCTAAGAAGTTCGAGACTACTGAAGACAGAAAGAAGAATGGTAAAGGTAGCAAAGGTCGCGGTAGTAATCGGGATGAAGAGAATATTAAAAAAAAGACCTCTATAAAGAAGAAAACTAAGAATAACACTGTTATAAGATATAACTTCTTTTATTAAAAGCTTCTGAATAGACTTTACTGACGCGTCTTGCAGAACAAACAGATAAAGACTTTTACAAATAGTAGTTAAATAAACTGAGTCTTTATATTGCGAAATGCTAGTATTTTATATTCAACGCCGCCTCGAAATCGAAGAGCTGGAAGAAGTGATGTCTCTTAGCTTGTGCGCGGTCTCGGTATCAAATGAGTAAGAATTTGTGTACCACTTCGAACGGTGCAACTCTTCGCAGCAAATGATCAACTGCGGCATCTTGATCTCGAGCTCAGTAGCAAGCCTTATGCTCTCCGATAGTCTATGTGATTCATCAGATAAGTGAGAATACTTTATGAGAAAATTGTATTTGCCGAGTGGTCGCAATGGTCTTCTGTAATATACACATCAGTAGCCTCGGCCACCATATTCGCGAGCACAAATTCGATGAACATAAGCCAGTACTAGGTACGTCACGTTACCTACTCTCCAAACAGGAAACGTTATTGTCAGGCGGCCATTCCTTGAACCACACTCAAAGTCCCTACGCTATCCTACCTCTTATTTCGGTAGGAAACACCCCATAATAAATCCTATGCTTTCTCACCTCGTCACAAGTGTACAATCGCCTGGCGCAGCCTATCTAGCCTACGGGTCAGCGCTAAAATGAGGGCCCGTGGCCACATTCACAAAACACTACGCATGCAACGTTCTTGTTATGTTAAACTGCGCTATTGAAAAACTATTTGATCCATCAATCTGATTTATAACAATACTATGCTGGTAGTTATGGTGGCCGCTTTCACAGAGCTAGTCACGGTCACCTCGGCGTTGAACTCGAGATGAACGAACTGCTTGGCCCTCTTTCTTGTTCTAAGCAGGATTTATTCTAGCCCATGAACACTCACCTCCATGTTCTCTATGCGATACTGCTTATGTCCATGTCCTCTCCCATCTGTACATTTTTCTTTTGCCTTATTTTGTTTTAAGTATTGTTTGATCTTGCTCGTCTTCTTTTGCGTTCTATTTTGTTGTCTACCTGAACTCTGCTATGTTCTTGCCTGCTGATGGAGCTTGTAGCTGTTCTTTTCGAACCTATCTGAACAGTATAGAGAGATAATTGTTTTGGGCTTTATCCGACATTGTGTCTGTTCTTTTGCTATAAGTATATTTGGGGTCTGGACCACCAATTTCTATTTGCCAGCGCCGTTCAACATCAGAGATAGTACCACTGTTGATGAATCATCTAAGTCGAAGTAATCGCTTGAGAATTTTGGTTGTTTTAAGCAGAAAGCCAATTGGCGATCCGACTTTCTAAGATCATTTTATCTTTTGTCTTTCTGGAATGTATTGAGCTCCAACAAAGGTGTCACAATACACAATAAGTAAGTTGTTCCTTTCGGAGGTTATTTGGTAGTTTGATTGGTGGATAGGGAGACTAATGATTGCGCTCTATAAACTAGAAACTGCTTCGCCTTCCCCAAGCCTGGATGTACCTGGAAGAGAGTGAGAAGGAGGAGATTCTCAAACTCTTTCCGATAACGCGCAACCGAATTCTTACTCTCCATCTGGCGACTGTGCACACCAAACCACCTCGTTAAGTTACGAGAGCACAGATCACATTCTTGACTCTGAGAACAGTCGCGCTGTATTACACGACGAATATTGACTTACTAACAATCTCAGAGCACGCTTACTCCTTGGGGGTGGGATTTTGCATGATCTATTGATGTATCTGGAGCTTTGTTATTATTATTACTCTTGGTACCGAGTTGTCAACATGACATTCAATTCCTATTGATAAGATACTTGGTCCTTTGGCTTAATCTCGGTATTTCCTCGAGGAGCACATAATGTATCCATCGATTGGCGAAGCTCAAGGGCTAGATTTGAGAGGGAATCTCGGTGTCGAGTCGACTTGCTTGGTGTCCTTTTGCTGGGAGGCCGCGGGGGTTGCCTCATGAGAGTCTGTCTGAGAGTTGGAGTAATCCGTCTTCTGAGAAGATATATTCACGAAGAACGAATGGGTTGCTTTAGCAGGTCAACGTCGAGTTGACTTGCTTGGTGTCCTTTTGTTGGGAGGCCGCGGGGGTTGCCTCATAAGAGTCTGTCTGAGTGTTGGAGTCTTTTGAGAAGATTTCTTCAAAAAGAACGGATGGGTTGCTTTAGCAGACTGCTCCTGTGTATGTTTATAAGGGCCCAGGGTTGAGGTTTTGTGGCTGCGATGTGTTTCTTTCGACCACTGATAATGTCGTCTATGAGCTGGGCAAGCCTTTTCTCCGAATTTGCTCCCACATTGTATTCAACAATGAGAACCTTGCTTCCAAGAGGCTGAGCCTATTGCTCAGCTACTTTGCCGCGTTTATTCTTCCTCACCTTCTTCGGATTGTCCTCAACCTTGAAAACCTTTTCTTAAAACCGGCCAAATAGGAGATTAGTATAAGCCATTTATATAGCACTAACATCAGTCGTATTAGAGAGCATGATTAGCAAATCGTACTATTCGTTCTCTACGTTTCGATGACATATTGTTCCATTCAGAAGTGGCAATCTAATTTTTGAGTTCTTTCTAATTTAATAGCTGGTTCGACCCCGTTTTCTTGTTTTCATTTTAGATTATTTTTGGCGGCCTTGAGGCCTCGAAAACCAGACTGTTCATCACCCGCCACAGCAATATTGTCAGTGTCTCGCCCAGTTAGCCTCACGTTCTATTGCGAGTATATCAACCCTGAACACACCCGGGGCTTTTTTATTATCACTATTAGTATTGTTACTATGAGTAGTACTTACTCTGAGTCGACGTAATGCTCAATGCCCGCAATGCGATTGACTGCGTTCCGGGCCCATAAGAACAGGGAGCAGTCACCCCTCGCCAGACGATCCGAAGCGAGATTGACCAGATACTGACCCCAACCATCCATCCACCAAGTATCGATGATGCGGCCAATGGCGGCACCATAGTAGCCGAGCAAAACAAGGGCCATGGGCTCATCCTGCATCAGAGCATCTAGGAACTCCGACTGCACCACGGCAGCCCAACGCAGTAGAACGGATGCATTCTCCTTGTCGGCGCACATCTGGAGTACGCCCAAGAGACTCTCCGTGGCATGCACCACAGCAGGCGTTGTTGGTCGCTGATGGTTCGAGTCGAAGTCATGCCGCTGCTGCCGCTGCTGTTCTTCATGCACTTCATGCAGAAGTCGGTGGAGAGCTGTCGCATGATGTTCGATGGATGTTTTCTCCTGCATCCTCTCCACCGTCAACAGACCGCGCATGCCTCCGCTTGCAATCCATGGGCGAGCCTGCTTCACCATGAACGCCGCCCCGCGGATAAGCTTGAGGACTTCGATGACGTCCGACACGGACTGGGCTTTGGGCTGGGCGTTGGGCCCGTGAGCCGCGCAGGCGAACATAATGACCAAGCAGGCGAATGCGAAAAGAGCGTGACAATTATCGGGCGTCACCTGACTGAGGAGGGGAGAATATAACGAGAGGGCGGTGTTGTTGTGGGTCATCGCCGCTTCGATATACACCTGGCGCCGTTCGATGGGGCCGTAGCGCGTAAGGTGCAGCGCCGACAATGCCAAGAGGATGTGCATCAAGAAGGGGTGGCGCAAGGCCTCTTGCGGCACAAATGTCCGCAGCACCTCCCTGGTCGATTCTTCGGAGACCAAAGTCTTCCATATTGCTACATGCCAGTGGTTGAGAAGTTCGAAGTCGAGCATAGGAAGTTGTGTGCTGCTGTCAATCGAGGGGACAGTGTGAGTCGAAGGAGGCTGAGAGAGACCTTGAGGAGTGCCATCGCCATAGAAGGAACAATAGATGTTTCTCTTGCGACAGGGGCTGCAAATAGGACGCAACTCGTCACATTTGATTCGGCGCTTCTTACAGTCGAGACACCCGTGATGCGATTTAGGGTGTGAGCGCCGCAGTGGCATCTCCAATGTGGAACCGGAAGAATGCGAGGAAGAAGAATGCGGAGAAGTCGAAAGTCGATGATGGCCTGAGATCTGAGGCAAAAGGGAGGTCGCCGTAAACTATACCATTTCGGGTATAGATCTCGAGTTTAGAATAGAGCAGTCATTGATTGGCTAAGCCATCTCGCTTATTGTTCTATTCTGGTTCGGCAATATTGGTGCCTCAGAGGGAATCGTACGTACCACCTCTAATGCCAGTGTATCCACTAATATGCCCCTTTCGCAACGCCTCCATCGTTTTCAATGAGTTAACATCTTGGCTCACAGCTTTTTCTTTGAGATGTGGAGAGCTGGCGCCTCCAGTATGGAGACTAGCCAATGCAATAAAAAGGCCGTTCATTGCCTCCATGTCTCGGTGAGTATCTCAAGTGCTGATCATCGGTGCAGACAACAAGCAGGGACCGACCCTTGGAAAAAGCAAGCAAGATGGTAGAGCTCGCAGCTCGCTCAGCATTTCGTTACTACTACTACAACCCCTCTCTGGCTGCAGCAGTCATTTTCATCATCTGCTTCCTTCTCACCTCGATCTGGCACACGTATCAATTATTTCGCACCAGAACATGGTTCTTCATCCCCTTCCTCGTGGGCGGATACTGTATGTCGCCGCTTCTCTCTCACAAAAGCGCCCTCTACGTACGAAAACGACAACTGACCGCGTTCGCAGTTGAATTCATCGGGTACTGCGCGCGCGCCGTCTCAGCGGAGCAATCGCCCAATTGGACGATGGGTCCGTTCCTAGTCAACTCTCTCATGCCGCTGGTCGCGCCGGCGCTGTTCGCTGCATCGATTTACATGGAACTCGGTCGACTGGTTGTGGTCCTTCACGCAGAGCGGTACAGTCTGATCCGACCCAAATGGATGACCAAGATCTTTGTGCTGGGCGACGTGCTATCGTTCTTGCTTCAGTCCGGGGGTAAGAGCACACTTAGCCTCGGGTCACATTTGGCCTTCCTCGGATGAATTTGCCCTTGCTGACGACAGACCCCTGCTCGCTTTGCGTACAGGCGCTGGTATGATGGCTGGAAAAATGCAATCCAGCTTCAAGACGGGGTCGAACATCATCGTCGTGGGCCTCGTGGTGCAGATCGTGTTCTTCGGGTTCTTCATCGTCACGACCGGCTTCTTTCACCTGCAGATGACGAAGCACCCGACCACATACTCGCTGAGCTCGGGAGTCAATTGGAAGAAGCTGGTCTGGACGCTCTATGCAGCCAGCGTTCTGATCCTGGTGCGATCGATCTACCGGTTGGTGGAATATATCGAGGGCTTCGGGGGCTATCTGCTCAGCCATGAAGTGTACCTCTACGTGTTCGACGCGCTGCTGATGTTTGCCGTGATGCTGATCTTCCATTTTGTCCATCCGAGCGAGCTGAATGCGTGGCTTAAGTCGAGTGGGTTGATCAGTAAGGGTCTGCGGTTCGAGCGACTGAATGGGGATGCGATGCAGATTGCGTGAGCGGTCTCGAGTGTTTTACCTCTACTATACCATGTATCCGGAAGATTGGTTGCTTAAGGCCTTTTACCGGAACACGGTGTCATATCGATTCCAAGGTGGTGATCTCTTTATACATGTGTATCTAGGCCGACGGGGTAGGGGGTTTCCGCAACTCTGAGCGGTCTGTTAAAAGGCCAAGAATTGGGCACAAGTGTCTTGACACAGTCAAGAGTGAGTGAAATGGGCAGGGATACTTGGTAAACCATCTTCTGGAGAATTCGTGCGTTTGAGAGTGGTCAAAAAGCTTCATTTTTGGGCTCGAGTTTCTACACTGGAAGGGTTGTGATCTTCAACAAAGACACTGTTCATAGATGGTGCAGTGTGCCAGATGCTCACTTCAATGACTACTAGCAAGAATCAGATGGGTGGAGGTGTGTATTCAAGGAATAGGATGAAGTACTTGTGAGGGAAAGTGGTATCAACATTGTAGAATGGTGTAGAGTATTAGGGGAGGATAGTTACACTAACGAAGAACTTATTTGCAAACACGAAAATAGATGACAGTCTAATCGAGCCCAAGATATGACCACATGAAAACGAAAGAGGAGAGCGTATGGATATATGCTTCAAACACGGACAAATTGTAAAACCGTAAGCCCAGAAACCAAACAACCGAGGCCTTTTTCCCCATGCACTAGCCTTTTTTTCCAAACCGAAAATCCCAAGCACGCTTTTACCTAATTATCAAGAACCAAAGTATTATATCGACCACCAACTCAGGCCCATTTGCCGATCAAAGCCATGATACCAGCACCGAACAACATGCAGAGGACCATGAAAGTCAGGCGCTTGTTGTCTTGGGTGCGGTGAGGATCGAACAGGAAGTCCCGGGCCATCAATTCCACCAGGCCGGTGTAGATCAGGATACCGGCGGAAATGGCATCGAGCACACCGGAGACCACGTTGGCCGTGAAGGAACCCGAGTTGTACGTGGTCCTGAGTCCGAGACCGATCGCCACAGAGATAGGCGTAGTCAAGCCATACAGGGCACAGAGCACCCAGGGGAGCCAGCTGCCCTTGCGGAAGGGGATGGCAGACATGCGGGCGCCGATACCGAGACCTTCGAAGGACTGATGGAAGACGAGGACCGGGTACAGCGTGGAGAACTCATCTCCGACAACTCCCAGATTGAGACCGATTATAACCGAGTGAAAGATGACGCCGAACTCAAGGATCAGGAAGGCGGCGATCTGTTGCTTGAAGGATCTCTCGATCCAGGCCTCGCTGGAGGTAAGCGACTCGGCGTCGGTCTCGTTCTTGCGCCGGCTGGTGGCGGCATCCTTCGTGACAGAGTTGTTGTCGGCGGCGCTGGTCATGATGGGCTCGGGATCCTCTCTGCAGATGCCGTACTTGACCTCGACGTAGCGCTCGGCGCCGAAGTCGAGGAGGAAGATGCACATGAGCGAACTGAGGACGATGGCGGGGCACCATGAGTAATCCGCCCAGTGACCGGTCATGCCAACGCAGGTCTGCGGGCCGATCTCGCCATAAGCAGGGTCGAGCAGGTGGATAAAGGCCGTTGCGATGATGACTCCTGCACCGAAGTACCGAGCGAAGAGGTAGACATATAGGGGGATGTGCAGGCGAGGAACGCGCTTGGCAATCACGGGAAAGAAGGTAACTGCGGTCGAGACGATGAAGATGACGAAGATGGCGGAGATACGCGCCCCCAGGTGTCCGTTGTACTCGTTCTCAGCGGCATTCAAGTAACAGATCACATCGACTGGGTCGGCAGTATCGAGATCGACATCGTTTGGGTTGAACGACATTTTTGAATATGCCTCGGAGGTCTATGCGAAAATCTAGACAAAGGAAGCTTGTTTAGGAAGAGATTTTCTGCTCTGAGTGTCTTTCTGAGCCGAGTCCGAGCCTCTCTTTATATGGAGATATCGCTGAGGATGGTGGGCACTCCATGGGGACCTTGTGGAATGGTTGCCCACACTAAAAGAATGGATTGCATTGTGGTCTCACGCGATCCAGATTTTAACAGAAATGACAAGGAATTCATGACTGGCACTGGTTTTTTTTTCTCGGCTTTTCATCATACTCCAGGATTTGTTAGATGAGCGATGTTTCTCTTCAATTGTAAAAGAGGTATGAACGAGGAAGGATGCGGTTGAGGGAGAAAATCGGCAGGGCAGCATTGTTGGCCTGAGGAACAAAAACCACAGCGAGCTGACAACAACCACAACCACCACAACAACCACCGGACAATCTCCGCCGCCACTTTTCTTCTTGCCATCCAACTAACTCAACGGCCCCACCCACTACTCTTGCGTGTAGTAGTACCTTGTGAGAAAACAGGCACAGGCCAACAAGGAGCGTGGGATAATAATCTCGCCTACCGGACTACACCCACCGATTGATACGAGAGGCCCCATCCCATCGGTGCCCACCTGGTCCTCTCTAATCGCACCCAATGCTCTTACTGCGTCATACGCTCGTGGAGCTCCGGCTGACTCGATGCTTTCCAAACAGGTCCTCAATTGGCGCTTCACTGGGACCCTGACAGAAAATATTACTATTGCATAGTTCGTCTCGTTATTACTACCTTGGAGGGGTGCAATTTTTTCATCTCCACTTGCAGAGGGCAAGTGATCATGGTCCTTTCTCTCAACCAGGGATACGGCTCTCGGAATTGCATCGGCACATTAACTAAGAGTCACCGAGTCGAATAAACAAGCAAGGAACAAGACTGCCTTGGCAGGTGGGAAGTGCAAAGTCCTCCCGAGAGCCATGCGCTCAGTGTCGTACTGTCAATCTAAACTCTCCGACGGCTACCCACTTGGTCTCGGGCCAGGGGCCTATTGTGTCCAGTCGAGCATAGACTTTGGCCAGGGCCGACACCAGTTCAGTAGCCTGCATCGGATACGGCGCTAGCTTGTTTGCCATGATCCTGATCAATCGACCACTGTGGATACCTTACTCATGTTATTGCCGAAAGTTAGCGAGGTGATGCCAAGGGAGGGTCTTATTCACTGGTGGGTGCCTATACTCTCGTCCATCAATGCCAAGAGAACGTATACTCATAGTTCGTTGCATACAGAACTGACATGGCATGTCAATGGCATGTGGCCCGACACAACGTGGTCTGCAGGGTCCCGTTGCATGCATTCGGAATGTATGACTCTTAAGCGTTACATACTCTAGCAGACCACGGCTAGCTCAACATCTACAAACAATTTACGGTGGATCTGGATCGATTTCCGATTTCGCAGTTTAAAATATAGCAATTTTCATTTCAAAAGCTATCATACGACATTTCCGTCACGATCATACATCGACAATCTCTCCTTCCGCGTGGTTGTCCATACATCGCCTTTCCACCAGTCGACGATTCAATGTGCGTGCTTCTCGGAACCGGTGAACTTGACATATCGGTTCGGGTGACTAGTGCATTAAATGCAATGCTTGCCGGAGTAGAGCGACATAATCGATTTTAATGCTAAAAGCTCTCGTTAGGCATTCAACCCGAAAGAAAACGGAAAGGGGAGACCAACGCTGCAAGAGCTGCAGGAGCAGCTAGAGCAGTTGCCGGAGCAGCAGTTGCAGGAGCAGGGAGACATGTTGTTCGAGGGGAGGAAGGCTTAAAAGCGCTTGAAAAAGATAAATTTGAAAGTGGTTTGGATTCTTTGATAGAGAGTCTGATACGCTTGATGATGGAAAGGAACCACAAGAGTACAGCAACACACAAGCCCTATTTATACCTTTTCTGAGGTCCCCTCTGCCCGAATTCCGGCGGCTTTCGCGGTCAGTTGCCGGTCAAGGATCATGATACCACTCATCGCATTGGTTTGGCGGCGTGGGGGTAGAAAATAACGCAGCGAACCAGCATAGGCTGTGTGATGACAGCTGCGTCTCGCGAGTAGCTTTTCCATGCAGCAAGTCGAATAACATCGCCAGGCTTGACTTTGACCGACCACCCGACCCTCATGGGCTGACCTCTTCCTTCTCCACCCAGTCCAACAAGTCTGAAGGCCTAAAGCCACGCTAAGAGGTCAGTCACCTTGCCATCGCACGGGGTGGATTCGTATCCAGTGCGGGCGGGAGCGGAAGGGAGGAGAGGGGATGCGGATGAGCATTATCATCTACTCCCTTCATTTCCATCCCTCTCACCCCATAAGACCGATAGAGACAAGAAAAAAAATAACGCAGAGAGAACCTTTCCAAAAGGTTACTGAATGTGCTCGAGGCCCATGATTCTTATAAAAATGGTGGGTTGTGGGTGAGCACCTTGAGAGCATGAGCACCTTGGTGGCTCTCCGGCCTCAAGGTCCTCGAGGTCCTCACCAAACCCTCCGAATTTTCACCCTCACATTTCCCTGCTCTCCAACCACCTGCAGTGGCTTAGCTTACGCGCCAGAAATCAGAGTTTTCACGTCCCAAAGTGATAGACACAAAAACTCACTATTTGGGTCTAGTTGCAGAGATTCCATATCCCAGATCATGTGTCTCGTGAGGACTACCAGCAGGTATGTCTCCGATGCTAGACCTCATGATATACCCAGTCGCTTGCAGGAAGCACCATAACCAAACCTCAACTGACTCATTCAAGTGAGCCGACTGGAAGTCTCTGGTCCATAGGCTATCGTCACAAGTTGAGCATAGCACACTCCGAATGTCTTTCCTCCCTCCTTCTGCCCCCACCCCTATCGGTCATCCCCAGCGAGGAGGATATAGCCATTCTACTTGACCATGTGCCCTGAAATCAATTATTCTTTCTTCTTTGTTTACAACTTTACGTACTCCAGAGACTGAATAGTGATACCATCGCCCGACACCTCCCATAACCAGTTCCCACGCTTCTCTGACGGCGCCCACCGAAACCCCTTTTGACTTCATCAACCTTATCACCATATACTCAGTAAACTAAGGCCCGAGAAATCACAGTTCTCTCACCCATAAGCCCTTCATCGCCCGATCCCAAGACAAAAAGCAAGGCAGCGAAGCAGCGAAAGTCAATTGGCCCCTTAGGTTACCGCACCTTTGTGACCAGTCTCCACACACGCAATATACACCGCAAAAAGTAACCACACGCCCATCCCACCAGCCCTATTCGTTCCAACTGGTATTTAAATAATCTGATCTCTTGATAAGAGATGATCAATATTGTTCTACTGCTTGATAGACTTCATTCCACGCTTAAGCCCCATTGATCCTCCTTCAACCAACCGAAAGGAAAGCCTTAAAAAGACCCTCAAAGCCACGTAACCATCCCAAACGACAAGAAAGGCAATAAGGAATTCTGGAAAGAGATGGACCTACCGCCTCCCACGTAGCCATCCAGACTTGATGGATGATGTACTGAAATCGTTACAGCTTGGAACACACATAATCACAGCCTAGCACATGGTTCTAATCCCACGTATACCCAGCACGAGAGCATTTTCGAAGCACCACTTGACAGGCAACCCTGTTCCCTCGTGCTGCCGGTCGCAGAATCTCTCTGCATTAATTACTACTACTACGTGCTGAGTCAAGGACGGTGAAAGAGAGAGCGTAGAGTCACGTGGGCACCTACCTCATGGGTCAGGGTCTGTACGAACTCCTCAAGTTGATCAATCCTTTACAAAGGTTTCATTTCAAACTCAATGAGTCAAGAGGTGTGCTTGCAAGAGAGCAAAGATAGAATCGATACTGCATTGTATAGACTGAGTCTGTATAATACTACAGTACAATGCGCAAAATGCAAGCCGCAGGTGATTTGGAAAGAGCCCGCCCTGTGCTTGATGCTATTCAACGACTTCACACCAGGCTGCTTCTTGCTTCTTTGTGTTGAAAAGTGGCATAAATGGTCGGAAAGAAACTACATACTTGGGGCTTCCAGCCACGATGAACATGCCCAAAGGATTGTATCCGTCCTCAAACTGTGTGAACTTGGCATCGATCTTTCCGAGACCCTTCTGAGGACCCTGGGAAGCACACATGATCCCTCTTCCACCCATCAGTTAATTGGAGCGGACGTCTCTTTCAACGGTCATCCATCCAACCACATGTCTCTCGACCTGTTCAACTTCATCTATCCCCCAAAACTTTCAACTAAAAGTCTCACAAAACTTGACCCTTCCGATATACGAAGATGATGATTACCTCGAAGCCCCCCATAGAGAGATATTCCTCATCAACCCGGTGAATCCCTCCCCGACCCGAGCCAAAGGCGCCTCGATCGCAATAGGCGCCCACACCAGACTATCCCCATCCACACCCAACCTCGTCAGAAACTCCATACTAGCCTGCTGACCATTCGCCTCCGAGACCCGAAGGAACGTTCGATTCCCCTTGCCGACCAGACTCACATCCGTCCAGACATCGACCGGGAGACTATAGTTCAGCGAGTACGCGTTACCACCGCTGACCAGGGTGAGGTTGCTGATCGACCCGTTGCCGTTGAGAAGCGTGGAGTCAAAGCCAGAGAAAAGCGTCCCCGGCACTTGAGAAGTGGGCTTGACGGAGAAGGAAAGCGTGTAGTCTCTGCCTTTACTGGTGAGCGGCGTTTGCAGGTAACAATTATCGGAGAAGGTGATGGCAGAGTGGCGGATCTGGCAGTCGTGGACAGCGCCGTGGTAGTTGTTCCCTGAGAAGTCCTTGACGCTGGTACTGTCGTTCTGAGTGAATCGGTACTCGAGAATCCGCTTTCCTTTGCTCGAAACTCGACGATCGAGATTCTGCCCAGGAACAGCTGCGTGGAGTTTGTCAAATATGCTGTTATATTCAGCTTCGAGAAGATCGCCACCCCACTGTTTGTCGCCCAGGGCAGGAAGGACATCTCGCCATGAATAATATGCTTCCGAGACAGTGGTAGCATTGGGACCATAGTCGTTCCAGAGGGCGGCGATGTGCCCTAGCACACCCGGGCTATCACGGGGTGGGTTGTTCGTGGCGTTCTTTGTATCGAAAATGTTAGGTGCGTATGCGCCTCCAGCGGGGTTTCCATGGAATACTCTGGTCTTGTTCAGGTACTGAGGATAACTCCCAGACCACTTCCCGACAATGTAGAATGCGTCGTCGGAGTTGAGAACATTGTATCCATTCTGAATGTAGTCAAGATAAGGATTGTCCTCAAAGAATTCCCAGTGCTGGATCGAAACATCCTTGCTAACATTCGCGCCTTGCGAAGGTGTGAAGGTCCCCCAGATCCGAACAGCTTTCCCAGACTCCGCCTGTATATAATCGTTCAGTTGATTCACAAAGCCGGTGTAATCATCTACCAAGGAAGAGTTGTATTCGTCCGCTCCGAGGTGAACGGTTTTGCTGTGAAACCAGGGAAGGAGTGTTTTCCAAATGGTTTTCATGGTAGGTATTGTGTCTGGATGACTGATGTTAAGCATGCTGAGATCCTTGAGACCCAGCTCCGGTCGCCATTGAACGATTGCTAGAGCGTGGCCCGGAGCCTCAATCTCAGGTATGATGGTGACACCCCGACGAGCACACTGCTGCTGAATCTGATCAAACTGGGCTTGCGTATATGACTCATTGGCGCGCTTGTTGAGACCTGCGAGAGCTGGATCATCGGACCACGGGCGAAAGGATGCATACAGATCCATGCTAGCCTGCGTTGAATATAGATCAACGTTATTGTAGAGGTTGTCGCTAAGATGTAAGTGGAACACGTTCTGCTTGAAGAAGGACAGGTACGAGCAAATCTCTGCCAGGAAGTGAGGTGGGTAGTAATGGCGACCGACGTCAAGCTGGAGGATCAGCTTTAAACACTTGCAAGGTCTTGTCGTGGAAAGATCACTCACCATAACTCCTCGGCTGGCCCAACCAGGCGCGTCGACCGCAGAGCCATGCGGGAGAGCATGGCCATGGCCACCCAGAACAGCTGCTTGGATTACTGAGCGCGATCCCCACCAGACCCCGAGAGGACTCGCTCCCGCAATAGTGATTCCATGGCTGTCAACCTCCAACGCATATCCCTCCGAGGTCCACCGCCCAGCAACATCCTGAAAGCCTGTATGGTTTGCGAGAGTCAGAAAGATCGTGTTGTGCCCTCTGCTGCTGTTGAAAGTGAGCGGCACATCCAGACCCAACGACGACCGAAGATCTTCTTGGAAAGTAGACGCGAACTCCTGGAGCGTCGGAGGAATCAATGTCTGGCCATTATTGTCCACGTGGTTCGAGTAGCGTGAGTCCACCACGATACTCTCAACATGACGGATGCGAAATGTGCCGTTGCGCTCGATAAATCCAGGAATAGTGGGCACTGTCAGTAACCGGCCGAGTCCTGCTTCGTGAGCACTTGACCAGCTTTTGAAGAGGAAGCACTCACCTGTGGAACTGGGAGCCAAAATCAAGCAACTGCTGCTGCAAACCCCAGTGAAAAGCATGGTGGTTGCTTGCGAAATTCGAGGGAGCGATAGGCTTGCGCCACCGATGCTTAAATACATACCAGGGGAACCGGCTTGTTGCGTCCCGGCGATGTCACCTGCCAGGCACCTGCCAGAGTCTGGCCATTATCTGCAAGGTTGCAACGGTTAGATTGAAGTGTATCTCTTTTAATAACAGCCCGAGGTCTGTCATTGGTGTAACAAGTCGATTATCAGGGATGTTTATCGCTGCCCCGCACCCGGTTGAGGAGTTGAAACCGACTAGAAATTAAAGCGCGGGTTGATTCTATCGACTAGTATTAGCGGGTGTGACCTTCTGTACCTTCCCCTCATTCCCACGTAACCGCCACATGTTCGACCGTTCCGCCCTCTCGACACTAACCATCACTATTATCTCTAGTCAGAGGTTTCAGATTGATGACTGACTGATTGATTGATTTAAGCGGTATTCCCGAACGCAGTCCTCTCTACGATGCTTTGCCCGGGTCGCTAGCCGGTATAGTAAGTCACTGCGGCCATCTATATACGTCACTGAGAAGCTCGCCAAGGGCCCTTACACATCCTCTTGCGTGGACTTGGCCTCTCTTGGGTCTGATTTGGTGACGGAAACGATAGATTTTGATGACTTGACGACTGTGTGGTTCTTGTGGTGGAGAAGCGCCGGCTTGCAATATCAAACATCTCGGCGGTGGTGGTGACGGTGACGTGGTTTATCAAGAAAATATGAAAAGCATCAAGTTTGATTGTTTATTAAGAAAAAAATACGTGCATAGACTTGTGTCAGAGTCTAAGAGACATCGGGCTTATAACTGTCAACGATTTGAAGCCTTAGAGGTAAGATGCTGGAATGTATTTTTAATTCTTTTGGTGGTTGTTACTATCTGAAATATCATCATGTTGAAGCAGCCTGATAACCGCGTTGCATCACGTGGCCGGATTTCTCAGCCTTGCCGAGAGGTTCTAACTACTTGAATAAGGGCAAATAACTCTTCATTATCGAAAAAAAAAAAACGAAGTAGGTCACCCCCGAAGGGGGACAGCAACATAGCGGAAAGAATTTATTCGTCATCGTCAACACTATTACTACTAATGTTAGTACTAAGTTCATGGCTGATGGGTAGAGAATGGCTTACATGTCGATCTGAACAAAGTTCTCCTCGATCTCAATGGGATTTGCGTGATTCAAGTGCCCTTGCTGGGCCGCCTCGAGCGCCTTCAGTCTGTCATCCATATTGATCATATGTGTACTTAATGACGACATTTGCTGGCTTAACCCACGCACCATGCTGAAGAGGTCTTCGTTCTCTGCGAACCGGCGGCGGGGAGGGGCATCGGGGGCTGGGGGCTGGGGGCTGGGCGACTGGATGAGAAATAAATAATAGAATCTTAGATCCAAATCCAATCAACAGCCCATCTATCGAAGGCTTAGGCCCCATCCGGCGGGGGCAGTAGATCAGATTCTATTTCGAATCCGTTCCATTATCAAAATTTCTTCGGACCAAAGGTCAACCATAGTTCAACAATCTAAGAGCACATCAGTATAATGCAGAAATGAGAAGGATAATAGGATATACTTACCAACTGACCCTATGGTTTTATTCTTTCACCGTCTATGTTCTGAGAGTAATCGGTCCTTGAATGACCGACTCTATCGTACGCATAGCATTTGTGAGTCTAGTTTAGTTAGTACTGAATCAACATAGCGATCATGATACTTACTTCGATAGCCTTGGCCATTTTGAGATGCATAGGGCTTCATTTGCTGGGCTATAGTCTCTGGTATTGGCAAATTATACCGGACGATATGATATACCGAGAAAAGTGGAAACTTCTCAATGCGATAGAAGTTGAGTAACCCGCCTTGATGGAGTCGATTACTTTCTTATTTCATTTGATTGAGTTTGGCCAATCGGGACACGATGGGATAATCTAAGAGAGTAGATAGAATATCATCTGATCTTACCTCCTCAATTAGATTGGACAAGATCAAATTGGTTGAAGGATAGGATTAGAAAGATGGAGGAGACGAGGAGGAGAGAGAAGGAGAAGAGAAGAATCGGCGTGATAGGGAGGTTATCTATTTATTTTTACCATCTATGTTGTGAATCCTTGATGTCTCAGCTACCAGCTATGTGAATCCAACTCGCTTAGTAGTATGACATTCACAAGAAATGGCGAAGGTGACAAGAAGAAAAGCTTACATTAACTAGGTAAATAGGGCACTGACCTACCTTGGTTATTCATACTATGAACATTCATACAATTAGCGAGCTAGTGAATCCAGCTGGATTATGGCAGTCAGTGAGCGAACAGTGTGGCCGGGACCTGTTCCAGTTCCAGTGCTACAATTCCCATTCACTACATCTTTATTCCACTAGTTTATCGCTTTGTGCGGTCGATTCGTCATGAGAGAGAGCAGGAGGGGCTGTAGCTGCAACCTGGGGTATGCCTCGCTTCTGGGCCGTCAGGGCTTCCTGGGGCTTTCGCTTGCTTACTTGTGGGAGGTGGCTAGGTAAAGATTCAATGCTTTGGCGGTGGGGAAAAGACGATATGAAATAGCAACAATATTAAAAAAATAGACGTAGAAGTAGGCAAAAGCTTTTGGTGGATACAAGATTTGACCGAAACATGGTCATACGAACCAAGGAAACTCTGTACAAAAATGACCAAGTGGCAAGGCTCTTTCCCAAGAAGAAAGCTATATTACAACCGGACCAACTAAACTGGCGATATATGCTGCGAGGGCTCATATCATCAGCCCATGTCCAAAAGTCGCCGGAGCCGGGTATCGATACGGTGAGGCTTCAGGTAAAGTCGCTTTGGGCTTCCTTTCGGTCAGTGGAGTGGTGCGTTGGGAACTGGGTTGCTGTAGGGGCTCGTGAGGTCTTGTCGGATCGCAGAGTGAGACGTACTGAATGTCATCGTTAGGCACTAACATGTCGCTGTTGGGCTCATGGTGAAATGGTAAATATGGGTTTGCTGCTTAGTGGGACCGGTTGTGCGTCGGATAGTTGTATGTAAACTTGTCGGGCAATTGTCGCGTTAGGGTTGTTGAACTTCGCACGTGACGTGATCCTACTTCGGGTATCGTCGACTGCGAAGAATGATTAGAGACCACCCTTCAGACTCGAGTTCCAGTCTTGTCGGGCTTCTGGCTGGTGTTGCTTTCGGCCAAGTAGTCGTGTACAACTGCCCCTTCGGTGATGGGGCCGTGGTAGAACTTTTTGCCACTGATGTACCAGTAAACCAGGGCAAACAGCAAGACGAAGACCAGGAAGACGCAGGCGTAGTTCATCTTGAAATGAAAACTGTCAGCCATTTCGATACTACCTAAAAAGAGAGCAAGCATCACTTACATTCTCGGATGTCACCGGCCTTGCAGTGGGAAGGACAAAGATGATCGAAACGAAGAGAGTCCACAGACAAGCCCAGGCATTGACAAAAGGGCTGAGTTTGCCCATGTGCCAGGGTCCGCGCTTAAACTTGCCAAAAAAGAGTTTGCAAAGAATCGGAATGCAGTAACTCCAGTCGAGAGCAATGGAGCACAGGGTAAACACGGCAGATATCGCCGTGTAGGAGCCCAGCGCAATGAGATTGATCGCGATGCAAAAAAAGGTAGATATCCACACAGCATTCAATGGAGTTCCTGTCTTGGAATTGACCTGGGTCCAGACAGAGGAGAAGGGCAACATCCTATCGCGCGCGCAGGCGAAGACAGTCCGACCGAGAGCTTGCATGGCGGTCCATGTCACGAACTTGATGATTAGCAACGCTGAAACGGTAAAAATGATTCCACCTGTCTTTCCAAGACTGTTATAAAAGATCTGCGCAACGGGCTGCTGTGTTGGAGAGCTCAGAATTCCACTCACATCGCCCATGCAGAAGCAAAGAACGATGTTGAATACAAAGCCGGCAAGGTACGTAAATAGCATCGCCGAAGAGATAGCCCATGGAACCATAACCTCTGGATTCCGAATCTCCTCTGATAGATGCGACGCAGCATCGTAGTCTGTGAGACACCAACTCGAGGAAAGGAAACCAAATAGAAAGCTGAAGCCAATGGGTTGCCATCCAGTGCTCGACTCGATGTGACCGAAGACGTAGGAAGCGTCGTGCTTCTTTTCGGTCATAGCCAACAAAGCGATAGAGCAAGAGACAAGAACCAGGATGTGAAAGATCACATAGAATTTAGTTATCTTCTCCATCCAGTATGTCGAAAGGGAATTGATGAGGCCAGTGGTGATGGTCAGCGCGGCCATGACCCCGACAGTGGTACCGGTAGTGATTTCATAGTCAAAATCTCTAGCCATTGAGACAGCTGCGAGCAGCATCTGTGCTCCACCATATTCTGAAGATGCTACACCACAAATCTGTCCCAAGAGGTTCAGCCATCCGGTAAGCCTAGAACAAAATGTCTTAGTACCCGGCATAGCCCGAGGAGCAAGCGGACGACACATACCAACTTATTGAAGCGACCCATCCCTGCGGAACCAATCTAGAGATTGTAAAATACCTAGAATTCGACGTTAGAACTGGCGTTCCTAGTCCTATTGTAGAGGTTTCTGGGGACGAAGGAGGTGGATGTCGGACTCACAAACCCCCCGAAGTCGGGTATGCTGAGGCTAATTCGGCAACGGAGCACTAGCATAACCCTATCAGCGATGCGACACCACCAACGTCGTGTTCAATCGACGGCGCTCTACTCACTGCAAGGCACATGCAACCGAATCCAGAAATCAACCAACACCAAACGACAGCACTACTACCTCCGGCTTCCAAAGGATAGATCATCGTTGTCATCACAGTCGCGAACAATCCCGAGATGCTGACGGCGAAGGAGAAGGTAGAAAATAATCCGAACTCTCTCTTCAAGACGGGTTTGTACCCAAATTCCGCCGCAAGCTGAGCATCCGCATGGTCCATCGTCTGAGCCTTGTCCGGTTGTAAGGCTGAGCCAGGGTCTACTGCCTGGTCACTGGGTCTGATGCCCTCCATAGTTAGCTGACAAGATCGTGCAGAGCACCGGGATTCATCCAAGAAGACAGATGCTGATGAAATGACCAGGGATAGAGAAAAAGTCTTTCGGCGTGATTATAATTTGCATCTAAAATTCTGAGGGGCATGGCTACTTAAGAAAGTTTTCATCATTCTTCGAGACTGCAATTCAACCTAAGATACTTTAGGAAAGGTCTCACAAGATGCCGGCGTTGGCCGATTAGAGCTCAATAGATTAACAAGA